TTCACCCTCCACTTCCCTCTACTGTATATTTCTCCTACTTTAAGATCTGTGCAGATTAATTTTTTAGTTGCTCAACAGATTTTCATCATTGACCTACTGAACTGTAATTTATGGTGCATGGTATGGTACTGTGTAAGCCCTAGCCAAGGGCTGACTGCAGTTACAGTACAAAATGCAGGACTGTATAGGTGTGGATCTAAATGCAACTTTGATGATTTGGATTAGAATAAAAATTTGGATGAGAGCAGTTTAACTTTGATGATCAAGATAAAATGTGTGTCTCAGAACTGGGATTAAACATATGCACTGGGAGGTCCAGGGGGCTTGCCCTGGCAAGCTGGCCAAGTGCAGCAACTCTCAAATTTGTATCAGATAGTTCAAGGGGTTGCCTTTGGCAAGCTGGCCAAGTGCAATGAGTGCCACACCATAGGTGCAGGTTAGAGTGTAATTTTAAAATTTAATAAAATGTAAGTACCCAAAAAAAACAGGGATTAAAAATGTGGACCAGAGTACCAGAACTGGAATTAAACATGTATACTGGGGGGACAGCTTGCCCCTGGCAACACACAGCCAAGCAAAGCAAGTGCTGTGTCCAGGTCTAAGTCTGACATTGATGATTCAGATGAATGATATGCACCAGAACTGGGATTAAAAATGTGTATCAGAATGTAAATTGGATAAATGTGTACCAAAAGTGGGATTAAACATGTGCACTGGAACTGGGATAAAAGATGTGTACCAAAACTGGAATTAAACATGTGTACTGGGGGGTCCATGCCATAGGTGCAGAAAGTGTAACTTTGAGAAACATGTACACCACAACTGTTGAATTTGTATCAGGTAATTCATAAGCTTGCCTCTGGCAAGCTGGCCAAGTGCAGTGAGTGCCACCTTAGGTGCAGGTTGAAATGTATTTTTGAAAATTTAAATATCAATAAAATGTAAGTACCAAAGTAGGGATTAGAAATGTATACCGGAACTAGAATGAAACATGTGTACTGGGGGGACAGCTTGCCCCTGGCAAGGCACAGCTAAGCAAAGCAAGTGCAGTACTTTAGATCCAGGTCTAAGTCTAACATTGATGATTCAGATGAAAGCTGTACACAAGAACTGGGATAAAAATGTGCACCAGAACTGGGATTAAATATATGTACCAAAACTGGGATTAACTATGTGTACCAGAAGTGGGATTAAAAATGAACTGGGATAGAAAATGTGTACCAAAACTGGGATTAAACATGTGCACTGGGGGGTCCAGGGGCATGCCCCCAGCAAGCTGTGACCAAGCACCAGAGGCATGGCTGAGCGTTAGCGAGTGCCGTGCCGTAGGTGTGGGTGTAAAGTTTGTCTATATAGAATGGCACAATG